CTTCCTGTATACGGGAGTTCTCTCCCTTTTGATTAATACAATTTACCTTATCAAAAAAAAATATAGAAACACATTTTCAGGAATTTTGAATCAAGGTCTTCTTGAAAAACAAATTTTTGGGTGGAAAGATTCCCTCCTTTTTTTTTTAGAAGGTAACATATTTGTATATTAATATAAAGACTTCACTAAAATTGTGAAGTCACCCATAATTACAATGGAAGTGCCCATACAAAACAAAACAGAAAATACACTTATAACCCTTGATCATCTCACAAGGTATCTAGGACATTTAAAATGGATTCATGATCCTCCAAGAGCTTTCCTTTACACCAAAAATAAAAAAGAGGTAAACATTTCATCTTTATCTTCTGGATGTTACTCGACTTATCTTCAAAACATCTTTGATTCCTCTTTTCCCAGATTGTCCACCATATGCAAGTCGGGACAATTCTCCATCTCTTTTTGTCTCTAGAAAGTGTGCCCTCTTTATTCCAGCTAGCTAGAATATCAAGGATTCTTCCCGGCATTGCCCATGGAATTCCCCTTAAGCTGATGAAAATTCTCCATATCTGTATAGTGAATTTGCAATGCAAAAAAAGATAGCTAATTGTCTGTGCCTTCTCTCCACATAAGTAGCACCTAGAGCACAATTGGAATCCTCTTTTTGTTAAGTTGTCTTGTGTTAATACTGCTTCTTTTGCCAATAACCAAGTAAAGCAAGCAACCTTGTATGAAATTTTTTACTTTCCATATCATCTTCCATGGCCAGCAACCAATCTGATTGTTGGATAGATTGCATTCCTTATAAGCAGTCTTAACAAAGAACTTCCACTGTCTATTCCCTTGCCATATGATAAGATCTTGATTAAAGTTGATCCCACTGAACTGTTCCAAGGTCCTATAAAACTCAATCACTCTGTCAATCTCCCAGTCATTTAGCATTCTTCTGAAAGTGAGGTTCCAACCTGATCTGTCCACACCTCTTCTAATATTGCTTGTTGTTGCTGATTCAAGGCATATATGTCAGGGAAGAGTCCCTTCAAAGTTTCTTGTCCTTGCCAATTGTCATTCCACAGTGAAATTTTCCTGCCATTTCCTACTTTGAACTTTGATTTGTTGATCACTTTTGGTCACAGGTTCCTGATTGATCTCCACAAACTAACATCGTATGGACTTCTCACTGACTTGGTTGTCCAATTTCCTCCCTTTCCATATTTCTCCCTAACTACCTCTGTCCACAACGTTTGTTCATCTGCCGCCAATTTCCATAGCCACTTCATCATCAAGCTCTGGTTCTGCACTCTCAAGTTTTTGATTCCCAGTCCCCCTGCCTCCTCACTTGTAGTCAACTCACTCCATCTCATCGGCGATTCGCACCAAATTTGAATCTCGAAGACTACTCCTTCAACTTCTATCTTCACTGCTTTAGGAATCATAGATCCGTCTCCTCTCACTTTTATTCTTGCCCATTTTAAGTGATTCTTTAGTTCCGTTTCCTCTTCCGTTTCCATCCATCCACCATAGACTTCACCAACTTCTTTGAAAACTTTTTGAGACCATAAATGTAGAGGGAGCCCTACTATCCTAATCCATGCATGATTTATCCTTTTATTTCTTGGAACCGTCCCACTATTGGGTTCCACCATTGAAGCTTGACTTTTTACTTCTTCCAGTTTCAGTCAATTTTTAGGACATGGTCAGTGGTTGCTTTTGAAGGGAATTCGAAAAGAAACATGTTTTGGTCATCTCATAAATGTTGATTCCATTTGCTTGCTTCCATGAATTTGCTGCCCATTTGCGCACTTCCGATAGCGTCACAATTTCTGAGCTTCCTTCTGAGATGAGTCCCACCAAACATCTGCCTAGCACTTCATTGTGTGTTTGGTTTCCAGTTATGCGAATAATGTCTCCATCTTGTTGGATTTCCACTTCATTCATTTCTCTATTTGCCCATATATAATTTCTGACAGTGTTTGAATACAGCAGTCCTTCTTCAACCACATTATGAGCATTAAAGGCATTCATCCTTACCCCACTATTTATAAACCTTTCTATTTTTGTTGCAATATCCAACCAACCTGAGTTGAAAGCGCCTCTGGAACAATAATAACTGATCTCCCCCTGCCTTGGACCCTGATTATGGTAATATAACGACCGTATCTGTTAAGTTTCTCGCACAGAATGTCTCTGAGAATTGGTCTCTGCTCTTCTATCTTTTCACATAGTTCCCTTTCACCCTTGAGGCTTCCTTAGATTTTCGCATAGCCACACCATCGTCTTTCTGTTGAAAGTAGTCCTTCTGATTAAGTTCTTTCCTCGTTCTGTCCACTCAAACCATTCTTCAGCATTGGTTGAGTGCCTCTCTATTTCGTAAGACTTGAATCTCACTGCAAAGTATATGATGTTCTCCTTCATTGTAGGCATTTCTCGCTAGATCGGGTAGTCAAGGACTAATATTATCTATATAAAAAACAAAGTTTTTTACCCAGTGACCACAGTAGGTGATCACTGAATTTTAGGAAAATAAAAAGAAAGAAAAATTCCGGCAAGAAAGTACGCCGGAAGAGGATCTCTGCAATCCTAGTAAGTAGGAAAGAGAGCATCTTTGGAATCTGTGCCTGAGAGCACTTTTTTACTCTTCAGTAAAAAGTTAACTTTTATGATCTCTCCCTTGGTAATAAGGGTATAAAGATTCCCTCCTTTTCATTATATATATGAAGGTATTTAAATGGAAAAGATTGCTTGATTGAGAAAATATCACCGTCAAAGTACAAAATTCAAATAGTTAAATGAATCTGAACATGAAAGTTGTAAAATTTTACGTAAAATAATACTACCAATGGAATAGTGTCAAACATGTAGGAGCATCCCAAATAAAAACAATGTCATAAAAAAAGAAGCACAGGATGTATAAGCGAAAGCACAATAATTAATAGGTGAATCAAGAGTTCATTGTTAAGCAAAAGAGACAATCCAACCTAAGTTACATTTCCAGAAAATTGGAGACCATTGTCCTTAAATGTAGTTATGTGGTTAGTTGACTTGTTTATGGTCCATAATAACAGTTTGACAAGACAAACATGACCTATTTCCACCAAGAGATGTAGTTTAGAACGATTAGATAAAAATGTTGAACAGGATACATCATGATGAACCCAGCTAATAGAGCCAGGACAAACTAGAAAAATGAGCCAAGTATCTATCTTGGCTTTACCTTTTCAAATGAAATATTTTCTCTAACTGCTCCAAGCATCGTTATTGCATAAGAAATCAAACCACCAATACATGTAGGATCAACCTCAGCTAACGCACGCAAGGTCAAAGCGGCCTCAATGCGCACCTAACAAAGCAACAGTCAAGGAGTCAGAAGCCAATGATTAGCTACCCATGAAATCAAGCAAATGATGGATTCAGTAAAAGGACTTGGGTGTTCCAATTTAAAAGTATATAAACATATTATTACAAGTCCAAAAGCATAAACAGGATTTCTTTCCTTCCTTCACTACTGTTAAGAAAATGTTTGCGGTCCTAACTCAACCCCAAAAGCTAGCTTATGAGATGTGTCAAGAATATTGCAAATAATACTGTGTATCAATTATGATCAGTCAGAACTAATTAGATTGATACTTTCCCGATAATTAGTTAGTTTGTGGTCTTCCTTACTATTTTAGATCTTGTACACTTCTGTATTTAAACTCACTAGCTTGAGGGAATAATCAAGCTGTATTTTCTCCTCTTTGCTTCATTCTTCACATGGTACAGAGGCAGACTCATCCTATTCTTGGTTTACTCAGTGTTGACTGTTGCCCCATGTTATAATGTCCAAGCATCCGATGTCCAGTCGTAGGCGTGCTTGGGCATTAAGTGTCGTACGTTGATTGATGAAATAAATTGTCTCCTCATATGGTTTTGGAAAATCCTTACCTCATGAGTTAGCATTTGAGGTTGAGTTAGGCACAAGGTCCATTTTCTTTACAAGATGAGGGTTGCTCAAGACCATATGAGGAGACAACCCATTTTCCCAACCAATGTGAGACACTTAACCTCTCCTCCCCCGTACGCCTAGGATTGGATATCGGGAGCACAACCAGAGAGAACAAGGCGATTCGCAGCACCAACCCCCTGGTGTTTTATGGGTCCTTTGGAGGGAGAGATGTTCTCAAGGAAAGGCTAACAACTGTATATAGGTTAAAGAGCAAATGTTTGTAAATTAGACATGACCCCAACCTCAGGGATGTATATAGAAGTAGACATTTTCCACGACTTTATAGAAACTCCACAGAAAAATAGGGATAGCACATCTCTCTCTCTCTCTTTTTCTTATTTTGATAATCGAGAAATTCTCGGGGGACCAGCTGCCACAAGGTTCAAATAAGTGGATAATGGGCCCATTCCTCTAGCCTTTCCACTTAAATATAAAGTTAATCTGTCCGAGGCAGAGTTCGAACTCGTGATGTGCGTCTAACCACCCATCACATGTTGCGCTCTTATCACTGAATTAAAGTTCTGAAAGCAATAAATTCTTTAGGATAGCCATCTTTTTGTTTTTACCAACACTATCATAGTGCTGGTTTTTCCTGATCAATAAGAATTTTCTTATTCATCATAAAAAGAACTTACTCTTATTTAATACCAAGACAGAAACAAGAGTGACTTCTGCAGAAACTAAAATAAATTACAAACTTTGCTAGATACGACAGGCTGATGGAACCTGATTTATAGATTCTTTAAGTATTCGTCTTCGATAACTCAAGTCTAGGAACATGTGAATATCTACTCCCGCATTCAAGGAAGCCACATACGAACATAAGTAGAAGCTTACCAATGGTGCATGATGCGAAACTGCAGCAACAACTGTGTTATCAAGAACTTCCTTAAATTCAGCCGGAACCTGCATAATGGCATACCAATTACTAACCAAACACTGGCTCTACAAAGCAATCTAAACGACTTATCACAAACCAAACTACCGTATGTAGGGGAAAATATGAATTTCAATTAATTAGTCAAGCAATCAGCTCAAATCAATTCATCCTAGAAACAGATAACAAGAAACCCGAAGACCTATCAGCTCCCGGCCTCCACCCTGTAGAAGGAGTATATTTGCTGAATATCAGCGAAGCCAAACCAGGTAATATAGCATAGCTAGAAGACTCGTGCTCAAAATATTTTGATTATCAAGCACAGGTTAATCAGTAAAAAAGATTAGATTCTCACCCTCACATAGCAAAATTAAGTTCACATGACACTGCACTTGTAGATGATTGGATGGAGTTTGTAGAAAAAAACTTCTCTGTAGAGATAGTGTACCACTTGTAAACATGATTTCCCATTTTCTGGCAATAAAATGTCTAATTACTTATCAGAAAAGATTGTCCCTGGGAAGTCCTCGTGTTGCATCCCTTTTTTGGAAAAAAAAAAAAAAAAAGATTGGTCCCCTGAGTGCAAAATTGTGGTAAGGGCATAAAGGTACAAGTTTCCAGTCTTCAATAAACCAATCAGAGAGAAAATCAAGCTGCATTGAATCCCAATCCCAACTATTAACTAGACCAAGCAAATTATCCACAGAATTAATAAAGTGGACAAATAACAGGTAAACATATGCAAAGCAGAGAATATTGTCCTTCACCTCCCCTAGTGTTTTCAAAGCATACGACATGGTACGCAAAGCAGCAACCCGCATGGATGGAGTAGCATCAGGAGATTGAAGCTGCAGAAAGCAACTGTTAGAGCAGCTCATGTGACAACACATTGCAAAATAGCCAAACACCACCAATAACTTCAAGAAGAAATTTCCAGAATACAATTCACTAGAACAAACCTGTTTGCCCAAAGGAACTAAAAGGCCTCTCTGAGTAGGTTCGCTCATTTGGTCAGTTATACCCACTCGAAGGATGTATAAAATGCATGCCTTCAATTAATCATCAATAAAACTGGTGAGGATATTGAGTCTACAATCTTGAAATCAAAAAAAGCATATAGTACAACGCAATGAAGAAGATAAAACGTTGCAATAAATTAAGGTAAAGACCAAGTGGATACAACTTCCATAGACACCACTCTAACTTTTTGGCATTATGATTGGATTTCGTGAACTTCCTTTTCGGTGGTTGTATCACTTTATTTCAGCTTCTTTTACAAATAAAACAGCATGCTTCAATTAGATTTCCCCCAGAAGGTTCATTAGCTAATCAGGAGTTGGTGAGTTCACACAAGAGCAAAAGTTGGTATCTAAGCAACCTTGTACTTGGAGACAAGTCTTTCGAGAGATAATATTTAGCATTGTAACCTAGATTCTATTTTGTGCTTCAAATCAAATTAGAATGTCCATTGACATCCACAAGCTTTTGAATGAAGTTTATATCCATCAACTTCAAGCCACATAAAGAGCAAGCAATGATCAGAATTCCTGAATTTTAAATTTAAATCCAGACTTCGGCTGAGTATATTACAGATGTAAGTCTTATTGCATTTACTAACATCCATAAGTCATCTCCAGAAGCTCTGAAGAATACAAATTCTAAACATTCTTAAACGCACTTAAAGTAATGATGAGAATTCTCATCCAGAAACAGCACGAACGTGCTATATTGAACAGTAATCTCGTGTAACTGAATAGAACAGGGTGAGGAGAGAGCTATAACCAACAATTTGTCATGCATCAACAATTAGACAGATGAACACTTATTTATTCGCTTCCTGGAGTGGAATAAACAGCCGAAAAAATTAAGAAAATGTCCATGAAAGCCAACTCATATTCACCTCAGCAAAGGACAAAAAGCAAATATTTTGAAGAGACCAGTCACCAACTAGCCAAAATAAAATGCACAATTAGATGAAATTTTGGCAGAGTAAAAAGAACTATATACCAGTGCTTGAGCATCAAACAGACTATCAGCACGAAGCATGTCCATCACTTGAAAGATGTACTTTTCAAGCTCAGTATCAGGCTGAAGATACTTCAAGCGAATGGCCTGAAAAGAGAAACTCATCAATGGTATGTTCTTCTAACATTCTTTGCACTAAATCTTCCTCTCTCTTTTTTTTATGGGTGGGTGGGGGTTGATAAAAGATTGTATTATATAGATTGCATCAAGGAGGTACAAATTCACGATAAATAGGCATAGTTCAAGTGTATATTTTACTTGGGGTATGTTTGCAAACCACTGTGTAATTACAATGACAGGGCACCACGTGCATTGAAAATACCAACTTTTCATAGATAAAATTTGTCCTCCTTTCACCAACTTCAGTTATAGCAGAGGTGGTCCCCTCGGGGACATCCAATAAAAAAAGTTATAGTGGAGGTGGGACGTTAAAATTTACTTTATCAAAAGAGGAAAATGCATGTATAATCTTCCTTGATGACTTAAAAATGTTCACGTATAATATATTGGACAGACACCCACATGCATTTGTAACTGTGATATTCCAGAACAGTATAAATCTTTTATCCAAAACAGGAAAAAAGATGTTTGGATGTAAGAGAGGATTTATTGATTCATCGGCTACCTGGAGAAAAGAAACCCATGACAAGGTTAGGCCAACGCGCAGAACTTTCACCCGAGGCCCACTAGCTGCAATTTTTCAACTTATCAGAGACTCAGAAATCATTGTAAATCTTCCCAGGATTTTCAAGAAACAACACACACACTGAAACAAAGAATCACGAAGCAATGCTAGTTATGTGGAAAGGAGGAGAGACAAACATGTCAAGCTACACTTTGCAAACAAAAGACTAAGAAATCAAGCATGGAGATGTTAAATCTGACTTTTCAATGTGAATACTTCATTTAGCAGATAGCTGAAAAGGCTGTTTCAAAAATAATGGATTGGTCCAAGTAGGAGTCTTTTCCATGAGAACTCATTTTTCTGGTAGAAAATTACAAAGATTAGCTATGAAACTTCACTTGAGCGTAGCAATTACTTAAACTTGGAACGGAAGGGACAAAAGAAGGGAGGGACACAAATTTCCAGTCCCTTCTGTTCCTTCAGTGTACGTTAGAGAAAGAATCTTGTCACTCCACCGAGAAATACACTATCTAGCTCCTTTGCTTGTGGATTTGTAGCTAATAAGGGTACTGTCATTTTACCTAGATAGATCCACTCACCATGATAATGGAGCAGGAGAATCAACTTTGTTAATGCTCAATTGTTATGATTTTTGAAAGATGAGCAAAACCGGAACCACAATGAGAAGGAAGCTTGTTTGAAATTGGATTTTAATGGAGACTTTTTACTAAAAATTTGAACATTTTAGAACTTCCGATTAAGAAAGGTTGTTTCTCTATAAGACAGTCAATTCCCTCAGGGAGAGCTACAGAAAGAAAGGACGCACCCTTGTATATTACGTTTAACACTCTAAATCAGTAGCACATGCCATCTTTCCACATTCTGATTGCAATGATGTGTTTAAGACCTATATTCACTGCAATGATTTTTCTGACAAACGAAACATATATATTACAGTTTAACTGAAAGGTTATGAGTGAGGTGCTAAATGTACCTTTTACAAATGGCAAAGTTAAGTGTCTCTCCAAACCCCCATCAAGTTTCTTGGGAGTAAAATGACTTTTACCCCTTGGTTGTACCTAATGAGCATAAGCAAAGTCAGATCAAGAAATATAAAATCTTTTAAAAGCACTTACAATATATTTATCTCCTTTTCCAATTCGGAGGTTTCTTTTTCCAGATTTTGTTTCCTTTCTTTTTTTGAGTTCCCTCTCTTGGTACATTTCTCTTCTAATTATATGTCATTTTCCTTCTTTTAATAAAATTTTCGTACTTTATTAAAAAAGGACTTAAAACCTGTGCATCAGGATTCATCCCAAGACCAAGCAATGCTCCCAGAGCTTCTGCAAATGCATCCCTTACTGACGATATAGGGTCTTCAAGGGCCTGCAAAACACAGAGTTAGAGATTCAGTGTTTATTTCCAATAGGATGAGAATAAGCATCCACGTTAAAATGGGAAAATCAAAGGAAGAGAGCAATTCATCAACCTTGACACAAGAAGAAGAAGCATTATCAAGTTCTCCAACCCCTAATCCCGGCCCTCCGATGTTCGCAAACGCTTTTAGACATCTAGCTGCAGCTACTCTAACAATAGATGATTTGTCCACGATACCGATACGCATAATGATACGAAATGCATCAGTATACGCTGAGGCAGCAGCAGCGCCCCCACAGCCTTCTAAAGCATTTTGAAGCATCTGTAAAGCTTCTTCTCTAACAAAGCCCTGAATGTACAAGTGGTTAAATAAGATAATACCAAGTTTGAAATGCTAACCGCCTTTTTTCATAAGCCAAATAAACATTTGAAAGCTAAACGTGAGTTTGAAGGAGAAAAAATTGGGAATTATAGCCAGACTCTAAACTTGATAACAAGGCCAAAGTAGAACCTGGGACAAATATAATAAAACTTTAACTGAATCAAAGAACAAAATGCCATCTTGGACAAGCATTCAAATAGGTAGGAGACAGAACCAGAAGCAGAAAAATGAAACCGGGAACAACATGCAAGTAACAGGTGTGAAGTTAAGGGGCAAAAACAACAGCCTATACAGCAACATCTTTTATTAATTCAGGGCATAAGGTCCATAATGGCCCACCGTTCCTTCCCTACACCTCCACCATCTTGGACATGCATTCAAATGGGTGGGAGAGCACCCGCGGCAGAAAAATGAAACCGGGAACTATACGCAAGTAGTAGGTGTGAACTTCAAGAACCAAAACAGCGGCTTGTACATTAACATAGTCTAAATACCCGAGAGTTCTCCATAAAATCAGTCAAACTCCATTCAGCTCCCTATGCCCATAAGGACAGCCTTTTTTTGACAAGTATAACGACAGCCTTTTCTTGCCCTTCCTAAGCCGAGGGCCTATTGGAAACAGCCTCTCTACCTGCATTAGGTAGGGGTATGGTCTGCGTACAGACTACCCTCCCCAGACCTCACCTGTTGGGATCAAACTGGGTCCGTTGTTGTTGTTGTAAATAACAGGTTATACCTACATCTCAATCTCCCACAAGTTCACACCACTCACTAGAGTCCTAAAACTAATCTTAAGTTGGACACTATAAACAAAATATACTATTTGCATCGTAGCCATAACCTAAGGATTTATTAAGGCTTCAAAGGAACTATAGCCACAGACTCTAAATTTGAATGCAATTCCAAAGTAGAACAGTTGGGGAAAATACAATAATACTTTAAATAGCAATATCTGCAACACTATTTTGACTTTATTATCCCCTGAATACAGTGGCGGAGGCAGGATTACCGCCAAGGGGGTTCATAAAAAGGAAAAAGTTGTAAAGGTTGTAGCTAGTGGGAATAGAACCAATGACCTTACAAAGGTTTTGAACCCCCTTGATCACTAAGCTATGCTTTTTGGGCTGTATTAAGGGGATTTAAAACATAATATATAGAGGTAAAAAATAAATTTTGCCTTACATATACCGTGTAATTTTTCGGCGAAGGGGGTTAGGGTGAACACCCTTCCGCCCCCTAAATCCGCCCCTTCCTGAATATAGTCGATTTTTGATTGCCAACTTTAACTGAAGCAAAGAACAAAATACCATCTTGGACAGGCATTCAAATGGGTAGGAGACAGCACCGGCAGCAGAAAAATGAAACCGGAAACAATACAGGCACCTATAAAGTAACATCTTCTTTTAATTAACCCAGGGCATAAGGTCCATAAGGGTCCACTGTTCCTTCCTCACACCTCCACCATCTTGGAAATGCATTCAAATGGGTAGGAGAGCACCGGCAGCAGAAAAATGAAACCGGGAACAATACACAAGTAACAGGTGTGAAGCTCAAGGAAAAAAACAATGGCCTGTACAGTAACATTGGGCATAAGCTCCAAAATGGCCCACTGTGCCCACCCCCTCTCTTTTTCTTTTTTCTTTTTTTGAATAACAGGTAGGAATATTTATTTTGGATCAGTAACAAAAAATTAATATTTTATTAAGGATAGCGCCAAGGTAGTGCATTCTTTACACAAAATGCAAACTTTCACCTCCAGAAAACCATAGGAAGCTCATTTCCTCTGTATTATTTCTGATCTACTCATGTCTCAAGCCCATTACAGTACGTAGTGTGTACTAACTTTCTGGTACTTAACACTCTGTATTGGAAGTTATGATTTGGTTGAGACTGCATTTATCAAAAGACTCCACTTAATCAAAAAACAACTCTCGGCAGTCCACTTTTCTCCAACATCCAATTGTTTTAAGGGAGAGAACAATTTCAAAACCCAATGGTACCAATAGCCCTCTCAAAGGACCTAAATCACACAACACAACCAACAAAATAACATTAATTAGAACATCATTCTGACTCACACAACTCTGTGAGGAAGTTGACTAAATTGTACTGCAAATATAAGCTAGCAAGTTTTTATTCCTAAACAAAGAGAGTCATGCATGAACACATAATATGGGAAGACATTGAATGATAATAGAATCTCAGTACCTCATTGAACTTCAGTAGTTTTGTGACAATTGTGGTTGTTTCAAGTAAGCCTGAAGTGATTCGTCTACCAAAATAGCGATACAATTCTCCCAAACACTCAGCAGCACCTAAAATACAGCGACTTAATATAGCAACTCCCATATACTGAAGAGAAACTCATAATGCATACCAAGAAAAAACATCACAAGGCATAGGTTAGGACAAATCAATTATAACAATTAACAAGGAAAACAAGATGCAACCTGAAAATAAAGCCACAAAAAAATTGATACTTAATCCCTTATTAGGTAGTTCTTGGATTGTTGAATAGTTTATAAAGCTTGAGTCATCGAGCACAAGATAACTGGGCATATTTGGGTGAGTAACTTCAACAAAATTGGTAAAGAATTCTAGATAACACAATTCCATGCTATGAAGCTACAGCCACTAGATAATAACAACTGAAAAGAAAATTTACCATGTAATAAATGATCCCCCAAGTTCTATGTGCAATTATCAATGAAATAAAGAATATACAACAGAACTCAAAGTTTTAGTCATTCTTGACACACCTGCAATTCGCTGAGGCTCACTTTTCTTTCCATCGGAGAGAAATCCCTGCAAACTGCTAGCCCTAGAGTATATTGAAATACTGTCACCCTTTTGTATAATCCTTGCCATTGCCACTGAGGCCAAATGACGCACCGGCTTCCTTGCGCCAAGCACAAGTAGAGAATAAAGTGCATCCTCACATTTCCTTTGCCACAGCAGTATACATTCCTGAAATTTTACAATTTTAGATATCCATTAACATAATAAAGAAAAAAAACAAGTGGATCAGAGTAAATAGCTACAACAAAAATTTATGCTAGTCAAACAAACAAAAATTAATAGACTCTTTGAAGTTTGATCGCAATCCAACTAGATCCTTCTGTCATAAATAGACAACGTGGTATTCAAAACCTATATTGTGGAGACTCTCCAAAATACTGCAGCACCCATGTCGGATTCTGCAAAAATATACTGCTTTTGGAGAATCCGACACACACCCAGCAACATTTTCGAAGAGTCTGAGCAACATAGTTCAAAACTCTAACAAGTTGGAAGATTATTAAAGTTCACTAAATACCCAAACATATTAAAATTGATTGTATCACTTTGTTAAAATTGGAGAAAATTAAACTCTACACCTTTATGTTAACACAAATTCAAAACAAGTTACATTAGAAAGAATGTGAGGAGAAAAGTTCTGAAGAAAGACAACTGAGACAAATAAGAGAAGAAATTGGATACTGCGTACTTGATTAATATGGAACATGCAATAACAACAACAATAGCTATGTCTCAATCCCTAATAAGTTGGGGTCGGCTATAGGAATCCTCACAGACCATGTTACTCCAACATTCTGACACAAACTCTCTTTTTTTGTTGATGTGTCATTCTAACACGGCCTTTCATGAGCAGACACCATCACTCTTAATTGTAATCTTTTGCTTGCATCCGCTGGATGCTTTTAATGAATTCTCCTTACTTCATCAAAAAAAAACATGGCCTTTCATTACATTGGAACACAAAACATTGAATGGTCATAGCAAATATACCCCGAGAGTGCATCCGAAACATTTGAGAAGTGTATCAGGAACATTTACAGATCACACTGGAAAGTCATCGACAAGTTTTGATACACCAAATCTCATCAGAAAAATTTTGGTCGTCAAATTTCAGCAAAAAATTTACCTATAAATGCATCTTGAACATCCTAAGGATATGTCTAATGTAGGAAAATGAATTTATTAAATTTTACTTTTTGGTTATGCTTCTTGTATACGGGGATCTCCCCAACATTAATAAGATTACTTATCTTATACAAAAAAGTGAATTAATTAGTATGGTCACGGATAATACGCCCAAATGAACAAAAGTAAATTAAATGGATTAAGCTTTGCATCACCACCATCAGGTTCTCTATCCTAGTTTAACGATCTCATAAAGTTCTCTTTCCTTCCCAAAAGGGGAAGAGACGATGACACCCATTATCTCCTTTCCTCTTCATCCTTGCCATGGAGGGTTTGAGCAATATGTTAAAAACTACTGTCGGAAAAGGATATATCAAGGGATTCTAGATAGATTCTCCAGAGGGCAAGCAACTCAAAATCTCTTCTGTATATTATGTAGAGGACACAGTAATTCATGTAATGACGTGTGATGCATGGAGGAACAATAGAAATATCTCAGAATTACCACACCAGCCTTTTAAGCAGTCTCTGCTCTGAAAAAATCAACTTAGCCAATAGCTTCTTGTACCTATACTGAGGTGCTAAATATTCGGTCATTAGCAAGATGCTTTGGTTAAATTGAATCCAGCGCAAAGTATAACAGGGAACTTCTGAATTTTTACTTAATAGTTTGAATTTACTTTTATCAAAACATAACCAAGATAGGCAATATGTATGTTAATCTCCCTGAAAAAACCGAATCAATAATCATGTTAAACTGGAACAACAAACGAGTCAAATAAAATTTGAGATTAATCAAACAATGTATTTAAACAAGACCAGTGTATACATCCAATAGATCTGGTGAAGGACATTTGGGGGAAAAAAACACTACCCAAAAGTTGCCAACAAACAAGAAGAAACGCATTCCCCCCAAATTGGTCAACAATGCATTAATATATATTGCAACCTTTGAATGCAATCCTTTCTTTGCAATATATTTTACAGGGCGTCACCATCTTGGCATATTTTAATACTTTCTCTGATCAACAACCAAGAGGGTTAGAAATTTTTGATAAGAAAGAAGATATATAAATAGTTATATCAAGAAATATCACGAATAAACAATGGATCAGTACCTACTTGGTAGATTGATGCTTTAACATATCGCTATTTGAAAAATGAGCAGCAGATAAACATGATAATCCAGAAAAACATCTACCACTGCCCTTTCAAATTTAGTTTTACTTCATCTTTGAAAATCCGGGGACATTTTTTTTTTGATGAAGTAAGGGTGATTCATTAATAGGCATCAAGGAGATGCAAAAGGTACAAAAAGGTAGATAACTAGCTCCAGTACAAAAATCTATGCTAAGAACAAGGAGCTAATGAAATCCACAAGGTGACCTGCACTAGTTACAGGGGAAAGATGAATCCAGCTAAATAGATTAACTAAGCAAATAGTCTTGAGGGAGTAGCCGGGGACATTGAAGTATGCTTCTTCGATACCAACACTGATTGGTAGGGAAACATTAAAGTATGCTTCTTCAAGTAACTAACATAATGTAGCAATCCAACCAAACAGGCCCCACGTGCTTCGCATCTTCCAAGAATTGTCAACCTCGATATGCAATACAATCAATAATAGCCAACACCAACAAACAAACAAAAAAAGTGGATGTGAACTTAGAAAAAATACATATATTTAAAAAAAAATCCTTAATGTATACAGAGGGTGTTTGGCTAAGCCTATAAGCACATTTTGACTTATCTACGCATTTGGTAAATATTCAAAGTGCTTATAAGCTAAAATCAGCTATAAGTCATAAGTTGGTCACTCCCAACTTATGGCTTTTCAGCTTATAAGCACTTTTGGTTTGACCAAGGTTTTTACTAGTTTATCCTTAAATATATTTTTTAATTCACAAAATATTTTTCCCAAAATAAATTTTCTAACTTTCTTTTCATTCCATATTCATTGCTCTCTTTTTATTTATAAAGAAACTTTTTAATTTACAATCTTTTGTAAAGTTTGTAAGAGTATTTTAGTCATTTTATCAGTTTTAGTACGTCTATCCAAACACATAAATGCTTATTTAATAAATCAATTTCAGCACTTAAAAATGATTTTCGGCAGTTCAAGCTTATCAGCTATTTACAATCAGCTAATCCAAACGGGCTCATAGTTTAAGTCAAGATTAGTTAGCTGAGACTAGAAAAGTGAAGAGAAGTCAATAGAAATTCCTTTTTTTGGATACGTTAATGGAATTAGAGTGATTTTTACTATGAATGCGACAATGTTGAAATAACTGGATACAATTCACAATGAAAGTCGATCAAGATCTAGCGAAGTTGACAAAAATAAAAACGGAATGAAAAATATAGTGACCTTGGATTCTTCATCAATGGCGGAGATGAGATCAGAGAGAAGATCAAAACAGAGGAGAGGGTCAGGAGACTTGTGTGCAGCTGAGGCCACTATAGATTCCAACTGCGCCACCAATACTCCAAATCTTGAAAGTGGCACGTCGTCTCTGACGAATTTCTTCGCCATTGTAGTTAAACTGAAAGAGCAAACCTTTTGGGGTTTTAGAAAGTATACAGATTTCGCGGTTTCCTCATTAGTTGGGGTGAAGTACTGAGATGGCGAAGGGAATGAGTGATATTACAAGAAATCCAATGACTTCCACAGGCTGTTGCGAGCCGCGATCGGGTTTTCAAAGTGGGTGAGAAGGGAGTACAAGTGCTACACCGAGTCCGACACGCATATGGAAAGTGAATAGTGAATGCAAATGAGGGGAAATTGTTCTAACATAACCAATTTATTCATGTAAAATTGAACATGTTACATGAGTTGCACAAATTATATTTTTTATGCAAAGTTAATTGAACAAGCTACATTATTTATTGAATAATTAACTGTTAGCGAGAGAATTTTGTAAAATATGGTTGAAACTCCATTATTGCTAAATATAAGTTATTTTATTAGTGAAAGAAAAGTTAAGAACCTTTAGCTTAGTTTTCCTAAATTTAGGGTTTGTTTTGGAAAGCCACCATATAATTGGAACTGGTGTAATTACTAGAGTATTAATTGCATAATTTAATAATTACACAGTTGTATAATTACGATGACATGTTTGTTTGTCATAGTATAATTACAATGTAATTACAAGTTTACTGCTTTGTTGCACAAGTGTAATTACACAATTAGATTAAATTTTAAATAAAATAATTATCAAAACTTAAAAGTTAATATATTTTAAAATTTCAAAAGAAATTAAAAAGCAAATAAAATTAAAAGAGTAAAATAATATAAATAAAAATTATAAAGAAAATAAATTAAAATAAAAATAAAAAATAAAGAAACTAAAAGGCAACCTTGTAATTACATAATGTAATTACCACCAATTCTCATTTCTCCCTTGATAATTGGATAGTGTAATTACACCGCTTCAATTACACCCAATTCCATGTTAACCAAGTAATTGTTTGGTCTCAAACTATATAATTACATCCAAATCCAATTCCTAGATTGATTTCCAAACAAGCTCTTAATATCTGAGCATTATAACTTAGCTCAAACCCTAAAGAAAGAAAGAACAAATATGAAAGCGCAATCTTCATACTCTCTCCTATTTTATATCTTCAATGAGTCTTGGTCTAGTGGTTAAGTAATATTAGGTTAAAATGAAAAGTGTTGAGATAGTTAAGATCATTCAAGATTCCATCTCTCCTTATTATACACTAGGTATTTCATTTAACTTAAATTATGACATATGAACATTGTATGTATCTTTTTACCAGATGACCATAGAAAAAAAATATTTTTTTCAATAAAAGCGATTTAATTTGTGAAGTTTTACAATTAAAAATAAGAATTTCACACCAGTTAAATATTTATTACCTAATAAGAAAATAAATAAACAAAAATTATTATACCTTCAATTGACTAGTGCCCCAATTTCATTGGTTCCAAATTCTTGTGGATGATATTGATTAAGCTGTAGGGAACGAGGACAAAAATATCCTATTTTGGGCTCGTTTAATACGAGGGATAAGGGATAATTAATCTTGAGATTCAATTTGAAATGAGTATATCCACGTTTAGTTGGGATAAAATTATGGTATAACTAATCTCGTGATTTATTATTCCAGGATTGTAATATTTTTTTTATCCCTATGGGAGAGTGGGATAACAACTCGGAATAATGAATACCTGAGATAATGAATCCTGAGATAACTTATTTTCCAACCAAACAACCCTTTAAAGTTTAGGGGCAATATTGGCCACTTTTCGTTTGACCTAGGACACCTGTTGTTGCGGACAGAGGCGGACCTACATGAAGATGAGATGGGTCACCAAAACCCGCTAGCCTGGGTAAAAATCATACATACATACACACACACACACACACATATATATATATATATATACACACACATCAAAGACCCATCAAATAATTTTGATGTGCCCCTTAAAAAGAAAAGCTGAATTACTCTGTTGGTTTAACATGTTTCATTTATATTCTCCCTCACTGGATGACCTGGGATCGAGACCCAACACTGATTCTAGTACTAAATGAACAATAATTTAGTACTAGTACATGGAAGGGGATAAGATATTCTATTAGCAAGAAACCAATCACCTTCTTTATCTTTAACTAGTATTAACACCCATGATGATATGCAAACACTAACCATATCAAATATTTGGGTTATTTGAATTTTATGTAAATAATCTTAAAATTTAAACCTTTTTGATAATGTCACGCCCCAAACTCGGGGAGCGCGACCGACGCTCAACCGAGTGAACCCGGTCAAGCAAGCCTGTTGAACACTTTCTACCCAACTCATCCATGATTTAAAAAGAATGCATAACTTGAAAATTGACCAACAAGGAGGTCACGTAGACAATACCAAATAACTAACCATTAGTTGTTTCATGTAATAAGTCTCCAAAATAGTGGGTTTCACAACCATAGTTTGCAAATAGGAGCATGTGATACAATTAGGATATTTTTAGTTCAACTTTTCCCACACCAATATACGACCCATACTATGTCTACGGAGCCTTTAAAAATACCAAAGAGTACAATGATAGTGTCGGCAACAAAGATCCGGCTATACCTCAAAACATGATAATACATACGAAACAAAAGATGCACAACCCCGGAGTGAGATGGGGCTCACCAAGTCAGCTGAGAAGAATGATCACCGCTATCACTGGTCAATATCTTCCGATGTGGAACCACCTGCATCCATTAAAGATGCAGCGCCCCGGCAAAAGGGACGTTAGTACATATCGAATAACACTAGTATGAAAACCAAACACCTAATCAACAACTTGAAAATACAACATGAATATAATGAATCAGGGTGACATTAGAATAATATAGACGACCATTGAAGCCAAAGCAAGTTTATCAAGAGCTATCAATAAAATATATAAATTATAAGACGAGATCCTTTGTATCCATATTTACTTATAGCGGCCATGCCGCCTCACCCCAATGTATGTGGGTGGAGGTGCAAACACAATACTACAACTCTACTCAAGCGGCCCTACCATCGTTGATACCCAATTTTTCCCTATAATATTTTTCAAAATGCATATATACCTCTACAACTATACATTAGCATCAATTAATATTTTTTCATAATTTCTGCATTTTTAAGGGTTTTAATTAATTTATCCCAGTATTTTTATTTATATAAATAATTACTAATTGCATTACAAATAGTTTTATAATAATTTTGTGGCTTAATTTTTATCATTTGCATTTGTACTAAGTTTTAATTATTTCACAAATAGCCATATTTGTATTTTTGGGATTACAATTGCAATTGCTTTGCAATTACAACCCATGCATATATTATTACATTACTTTACCAGAAAATAGCCTTTTATACTTTTTAAATACAAGGTAATTATTTTAAAACATTTCTAGGTATAAAATCATTTTTATAATCTATTAATTATTTTTTAAAATTATTTTTATCAATTAAATGATTATTTAACAAATGACCCTTTTTATTTTCGAACCTAGCCTAATTACACAGCCCAAATTCGGTTCCAATTCAATTAAAACTGACTCAAATCCCTAACCCTAGTTCATTTTACACAAAATAGCCGCCCTAAATTCCCTAACCTCTTCGTCTCTCTCTGAGACCCAACCCTAACCCTAGCCGCCGCCACGTAAAACCAGCCCTAATATCTTCGATTCCTACCCGTTCCATGGATTTCCATGGCTTTTTGAAACTTCTACCAGTCTCCTATTTCTCCTGGTTGCCCGATTTTTTATTTCATGGAAAGATCTCGAAGAGATCTAGCCAGATCTTGTTCGAGACTCTTCGAGGGTCCGCCTATGGTCTGTGAGTGTTACTATCTCCGTGTTTGTGGTTCAAATCTCTGGTTAAAGGCCAGATTCTCTTTACCCCTTTCCTTTTTCCTCAAAACCCTAATTTTGGACATGAATCCATCTAGATCTTTGTAGATCTGAAGCAATTCTGAGTCCGTCAACAACTTTTCTTTAAAAATTCTCTTATTTCTTTACTGTTAATCAATTTTTAAACACTTTGTTATATTAGGGTTTGGTTTTCTCGCTATTTGTTGATCGAACCTCTGTGCTTGAAGTAGTTTCGAGTTTCCATGACCGTTTCTTTAAGATTCTCCTGATCTTCCTAATATTAATCAACCCTAAGTATTTTTTTTAAAATTTAGGGTTCTACTTCTGTTTTTGCAAATGATTTTATGAGATTCTTATGTTTTGTTTAATCTTTCTCGCATGGCTATGACCCTAGTTTAATTGTGTCACAACCCAAAAACCGACCGGTCATGATGGCGCCTATCGTGAAACTAGGCTAGCCGACACAACTCCCGAATAAACCATTTTCCAATAAAAGTTGTTTATATACCATTTATAAACCAATAATCTCATAATGAAAATTTAAAAGAAAAGTGCGGAATAATTACACAAGCCCGACATCGTGGTATCACAAGTCATGAGCATCTACCAAGGTTTGAATACAACAAGAGTCTAAAAATGTACTAAATACAGTAATGAAAATGAGAGGAAGGAAAGCAGTGCTGCGAACATCGTGCAACCACCTTGCTAACTCCGATGACTCCGCCTCTGAGCAACCAACACCCGCTACCGGGTTCCGAAATACCTGAATCTGCACACGAGGTACAGAGAGTAATGTGAGTACTCCAACCCAGTAAGTAATAAGAGTAAATAAAGACTGAGCAGTAGGAAACGATGAATCCACATCCCCTCGACATAATAGAAATTTACAATCTTTTTCATAACTTAAAAACTTCAGTTTAAATGAAAGATTATTTAAAACAGTTGTTCAACATTTTCAATAGAGGCTCGGTCTAAAGATGAGTGAAAGCAGTAATTAAATCAACATATTCAATAGAAACTCACTTTAAAGAGGAGTGAAAATAGTAAGTTCATAAACTAGCCCCTCAGGCAAAGCATCACTCATGTACATATATATATATATATATATATATATAGCCCCTCGGGCAAGCCTCTCAGTCACTCGTGACTCAACTCTTACCAATCAGCACTCACACTCAATAGATACCATATAGTAACCGCTGCGGCATGTAGCCCGATCTATATATCGATGCGGCATGCAGCCCGATCCATATATATAGTCGACTGCGCTCACTAGGGGTGTGCAGACTCCGGAGGGGCTCTTACAGCCCAAGCGCTATATCGCTGCGGCGTGCATCCCGATCCAACATATCGATGTGGCGTGTAGCC